ATAAATCTGAAAAATCACCTAAAGTCCTTCAAAATTTTCTTAAAAAATCAACTTCTCTGGTGCAAGATGAGGCCCAATACGATGGCAATCAAAACCCTCACTTCGAAAAAAAAAACATTTCTTATAAACATACATATGTACATATGTAGATACACACACATATATTCATTCATAAATCCCGAATTAAATAAATTAATACCTCTTAAGGCGGCAGACCCAACACACATGAGCTTTGCAGCAAAAATTCTGGAAAAGTGGGGACAATGTGTGTCATCATGACATGTCTCTCATATTGTATGGAAGCACGCTTACATACATACATACATATCTATATATATATGTATATAAGTATGACTAGCTATTTTATGCAGAACTGCGGAACTGACTGACTCCTAGGGTGGGTGTGGTAATGATCTGATAATAAATTTAATATTAGCCTGTTAACTGTGAAGAAGAGACTTCCAACTTCCACGAACACAATGTAGACATTAAATTGGACATATTTATTTAATTGAAAAAGATGTTGGGTCGGCGATATGAATTTTGCCAAAAAGTCTCTTCGTATTCTTTATTTTTTGAGACAGACATTTTGTGGCTCAAACAGAGCGAACAAAATCCACTCAATTTTTCTGGAGGGGCGATTCCACTCATATGTTGTCATATTCCCCCTTCGGTTATGAAAACAAATTTAATTAATAAATTTAAAAACTTTTGCCATGTGTGTTGCGGGTTGTCAGTTCTTCTACCGTTCTTCGGTCAGTCAAAGTCGAAGTCATTGTGGTTGAACTTGGTTTGGATTACTGATTACTGCCGCCGCTATTCTTGGGAAACCCTCATTATGTACAGGTAGCCAAACCAAGCGTGAGTATGTGTGTTTGGTAAGACACTCAAGAGATAACTACATATGTATGTACATACAAATTTACTTATGTGAACATGTCGCTTACCACAAGCCCTTGCCAAAGTAGATAAACATAATAAAACCCTTAATAAGGGAAGTGTGCGAGCGTGTGTGTGTGTGGGGGGGGGGGGGGAGTACAAACAGGAAAAGGTGTCATCGTAAACAGTTTAAGGCATTACATTTGCATTTCTATTAGCATTAAATATTCTCAACGTGTCACTTGATTATGAGCACGGTGGGATGGAATGTAACAAGAGGAAACAATATAGAAGAGTCCCAAAAAAGTTGATTTTGAAATATTTTAACCAGGGATTTTTAAGAATATTTTTCATGGACCATCAAAGCAAAAAACGTGAACTTTTTAAGAATATTTTTTCTATCAACCTCAGAGTTTTTTCGAAGACCAATAGAACCATAAACGTGAAATTTTTAAGAATATTTTTTCAAGACTTTTGGAACTATATACGAGGATTAAAAAACTAAGGCCATCGGAGATACAAACTTGGAATCTTTTAGAAAACTTTTTTTAGACCAACTTGAATTTTTTATAAAAAAATTATTTCAATTCCACATTTGTTACATTTTAATTTTTTTCCAATTTTTTTTTTTCAGAACATCGAAGTTATAAATTTTACATTTATATATTTTTTTAGACACATTCCGAGTTTTAGGGGTTTTGGAAATTCGAATTTTAAGGTTACGAAAAGCTCAAAAAATTTTCCATTTGGCACTTGGTATGAGAATCGAAACAGCTTGATATAGGAAAGCGGGAAACGTGTACTAAGTGTGCGAACTGTACTAAATTTGGAACAGTTTTGTTTAGGGTCAACGAATGAAGCTGGAATTTTTAAATTTTGTATTGGGGTCCCTGTTGGTGGTTGGTTTGAGTTTTGGAAATGGGTACAAAAAGTGCACTAAAAATACTATATTTCGTACCATTTTGTATTGGGTGAAAAGATTGTGCTTGAAATTTGATATAAGGGTCACTGTTCATGTGTAGCCTGGATATATGGAGGTGGTTTCGGAAATGTGTACTTTAATTGTACGAAAAGTACCCTGTAGTAGGTGAAATAAAAACTGCATCAAAATCAAACGCCATAATTTTTACTTGCGCTTGAGTTCTGTTGGCCAACCGAAGGTGAAGATTTTCAGGTGCCCTCTTTGCAAGTAAACACGATAATTTTGTTTGTTTACAAAATGGTGGAAAACGAATGCTTTCTCATCGGAGAAAACCAAATTCGCCAGTTTATCACTTTCGGCCAAGCGAAGCAACTCTTTAGCTATTTTGAGTCTATTTTTTAACGCCACAGCCACATGTGGTTTTCCAGCCAAATATAAAGAAATTACACTATCACGCTTAAATTCCATCTCTAATAACTTTTTTTCTGAAAAATTCTCACCAAAATGCTTTTGTACGCCTGTAAACAATATAATGACCTGTCACTGAAAACATTTTAACAGCTGTCGCACGAGTGGCTTAGAAATGACAGCAGTCTGAAGTTGGTTGCAGTTTTTTCATCTCACCCTGTATTTTTTATTTATTTTTTTAACGATCTTTGTTTTTCCCAATGAAAATACAAACATGATTGATAGATTTGTTAAATTATGCATTTATTTATTTTTATTATATTGTATTTGGAGCAGTTGTTGATGTTTTCCTTTTAAAGAAAACATTTCGAAATCATTTCTTTAAATAGAAATCACCAATATCGGGTTTTGTAGTATGTACTTAAAGATTTTGTTTTTCGTTATTAACTCTATAGTTATAATACATGTTTTGCATTTGGGTATTTGGTAATGTTGTTGTCATCATGCGTTTCATTTTGTTGTCATTTTATTTCATTTTAATTATTTCTCTTTTTGTATTACACAATTATTTTCATAATAATATTCTTTGGAAATTTGTTTTTAATTATTTTTCATAATGTTTTTCTCATACTTGTTTCTTCTTAAAACGAGACAAACAAAATTCAATCGAACAGGAATAATTCTAAATGAAACACTTGATCTATTCTCAGAAGCATGATATGAATTTGAATAATTGTTTTTATTTCTTTATTTTTATTTATTTTGTTGATAGTTATAGAGATGCATATTTAATTTTTATTTATATATGAATTTCCTGTTGGTTTTTTTTTTGTTTATTTAAAAAAACTAGAGTATTAAAATTATTAGTTAGGGTTTGGTTTTCTTTTGTTTGTTTTAATTTCTCACTTCTCAATACTGTATGGATAAATGTTAATATTTTTTTTGGGATTTATTTGTTTAATATTATTGACATAATTTACTGATAAGTTATAACGGGTTTTATATAGTTTATGTTATACTTAACTCAGGATGTGTGATAGTTTCAAAAGCAGGAGCATAATTCGGGAAAAATGGAGATTATTTTAGAAAATATTTATTAGTTGGGAATTTAAGCCAACATTTTTATAATGTTAATAATTATAGATTAGTAACAAAATATATGCAAGAAAATGTGAACAAAATATTTTGATACTCTGAGTAGTAAAATTTAGAAAATATTTCTTTTTTAATCACAGATTTATGAAATACAATACTGCATTATCAAAACGATGTATACTTAAGTTAAAAACAAAGATACTAACAATTCATAAATTGGAAAGATCATTAAACATTAAAAAAAACAGGTAAAAAAGCTGTAAGTTCGGCCGGGCCGAACTTTGAATACCCTCCACCATTTGGAACGAATTTTGCAATTCTCAAAAACAATAAAATATGTTAAAAATTCGGTTACAATCTTAAATGTAGCTGCAATATTAGGGTCTATACGGCGACATGGATCTGCATAGGTAATTTCTGTCATAAGACTTTACAATATTCATATGCGAAACTTAAAAAAAAATCGGTGTATAATGTAGCTAAAATCATCAGAATACCGAATATAGTGAGGTTCCGTTATATTGGGGCTATACGAAGACGTGGACCTGCACAGAAAATTTTCTGTCATAGGCTGTAGTATTCATTCCGAACTTCAAACACCAAATTTGAAACAATTCCGGTAAATAATGTCGCTAAAATCATCAAAACACCGAAAAAAGGGGGGCACCATTATATGGGGGCTATACCTAAACGTGGACCTACATTACCCATTTTCAATACCAAAAGCCCTTCAGACATAATACACATTTGAGTAAAATGCTATCAACCTACTTCATTTCGCTCGGAAGCTAGTGTGATTTCCACAGACGGATAGACCAACGGACATCGCTAAGTCGACATAGAATTTTATACTGATCAAGAATATATATACTTTGAGGGGTCTAAAATGTATATTTCAAGGTGTCACAAACGGATGACAAACATCATATACCCTCCATACTATGGTGGAGGGTATAAAAAGGATAATTGTAATGGAGGAAAATTAAATGGCCAAATAACGTCAATATCTAATTAATTTGACTCTTAAATTATATACTCAAAAATCAAAATTTGTCTCTCTTTAAGATTTTGATTGGCCCTAAGACTTGGATTTAGTCTTAATTTTGTGTGGGTTTTTAAATTATAAGCTAAAAAAATACAATTCAAATATACTATATAATTTACCCCAAAATCAGTCGAAACCCTTTGTGTGGAACTCTAGATTTAAGGCCATCAAAAATAATTTAAATCTACACTTATTAATTCCAATATATATATATATAATCAAATTATAACTTTATTTACAACAAAAAAAAAAAAAAAATCAAGAAAAAAATAATTAACAAAAAAAGCAGAAAATATTTACAAAAAATCATAAAACTAAAACAAAAAATAGTAAAATATTGCATTTATATTGCACAAATTATAGTAAATCATTTAAAATAAACTATAGATCTTATAGTTCTACAGTAGAGGAAGCAAAATAAACTCAGATCAAAAAATAAAAATAATTGTGATGTTCAAAATTCCATTCAATGACACTTTGAGATAAAAATATATCAAAATATATACTCGTTTATAAAAAGGTTAGTTGGTACAAGAAGAAAAAAGAGTTGCCAGTTAAAATCTAATATCGAATGTTTTACAATATGACACAAATAATATAAAAAAAAATCAAAGGAGAAAAATGAGATTCCCGTGTTAACGTCTTTTTTAGTTTGTTTCTTTCTATGCGATATACATTTGTTTACGCTAAACAACAACATTTCGATAATGTATGTGAAGTATCTTACGTTCATACCTACATGTTACTATGTATGTATGCCTGCCTTAGTAGTATAATTGCGTTTCATTTGAGATTTGATTTTATCCAAAAATAAACATAATTAAAAATTATAACAAGCCTTATGATAACAAATTAAATTATAATGATAAGCAATCTTAAGAATTTCTACACTTTGCTTTTGTTCGTTTCTATGCTTTTTTTGTTTCTTTGTCTCAAGGAATACTCTGCCATCAACGATTCTTTGTTGGGGCTCTTTTTTGATGTTTTGGTAGCCTGCTAGCCAAACACTTTGAAAACTTACTTACGTTGTTGTTGCTGCTGATGCTGTTGGGAACTTTGTGTGTGAGAATGATCACCGGAGATGTTATTCCTTGCCTGATGATGGTGATGATTTTCCTCATCGTCGCTGGGCTCTTCTTTCAATGGCAACGAATCAATCTGCTTGGCTGTGGTTACTTTTTTGTTACGCTGCCAAGTAAACACCCGGGCCATTTGTAGGAATTTCTTACGTGACATTTTTCCCATGTGTTTTAGACGTTCCTTAAAATCAGCATCACCATCCGGCTTGCCCTTGCCGGCATGCTCCTTTTCCAGGGCATTCATAAATTCTTGATTGATGCGCAGTTGATTCATGAATTCCTCATTTTGCAGCATCATGGCAAACTGTTCATCGGGTAAATCGAAATCTCGATTGGGGTCGTAGGGCAGGGCAATTGTATTGCCCCCACCACTGCCAATGGGATTGAGTCGTAAAAATGTTGAAGGTAAAGGCAACAACATGGGTGGGTTCCATCGTCGATTGATGCCTGTAGCCTGGCTACGATTTGTTTGCATACGTTTGGGGGTACTACCCTGGGAGGATTTTTGAGATTGCAATTGGGCAGGCGGTCTCACTTTCGGTGAGGCGCCTGTTGTGCTGTGATTTGGTGAATTAGTGCCCAGATTTAATAAAACTCCAGCGGAGGGCAGAGATTTGTCTACAGGCCCAGTGACGCCACCGCCACCACCGCTAATGCCATCAATATCATCCACATCAATTAATTGCCCGGTGGCTGGTTGCCGGTTAGTACGACTGGCGGCCTCTGTATCACTGTCGCTCAAATTGATGAGACTTCTTTGGGGCGAAACATTTTCCAATTCGTTGCGTAGTTTTTCATTCTAAACGCAATGCAAAAAACATTCATAATTATAAACATTTCCAAAAACAGAATTCCATGCTCCACTCACCTGATTATCTGTTGACATTTGCAGCAGCTGATCAATTGTGGCATCCACAGCTCCTTGGTTGGCACGCAATACCGCCTCAATCACATCCCTATCCATGTCGGGAAACATAATTTTGAAATCCGACATCGCCTGGAAATAAACGAAAAAACTTTAGCTTTAATTATACAGGAATCATAGTCCCTACTAACCTGGGCGAATTCCAGCTGCATCGTTGATGCCATTTCTAATGTTTTGGTGTGTATGTATGTGTGTCCTTGGCTGTAACACTTTCCAAGGGGGTCTTGTCAACCTTTTAGGTGTGCACAGCAGCTGTATATTATCAATTACCAAAGGGGAGAAGGATATTTTCTTTCCCCCAAATATGTGTTTTGAAATAAATTTTCCCCTCTGCTTCACATATGTTTGGCTTCGCGCTGCTGTTGAATGACCAAGCAAAACATGAAAACTTTTCCGTTTCCTTGTGTACTTTCTTGATTATATATTTACATTATTTAATTTTTATGGACAATTTATGATACTTTATTTCTTTACTTTCTTTTCACTTTCGTCTTTACACACTTCTTTGACGTTTTCAGCCATCTTTGAACTAACCAAATTGGAAAACGTTCCAAATAGATTCAAATAAGAATGGCAAAGAGAGTGAGCGATAAAGGCTAAGTTGAAAATAAATAAGCGACAAGTTTTTGTTTACGAATGTGTGTAATGAATAACGGCCAACAGCCAGCTGGTGTATTAGGGATACATAGCTAAGAGACACAATCGAATATGATATCCGTGGTACTATCGATAATTTTATTTCTTGTGTCTATTTGAGTCCACGATAATTCAATTATTTTTAATAATTTGTATAAATTATTGAAAAATCTTGTTTGTGGAGCCAAAAGAGCAGTTTTCCGACCGATGTGACAAAATTTAAAAGACTTAGGCAATGCTTATTGCTCTGTTCTAGAACTGGAAGTATGTAAAACTTTTGACTATGATAATCGATTTTCCCTTTTGTCGTGGCAATCTTACTGCCAAGTTATGTGAAGTTGCGGGAATGAGGAACAATGCTAACATGTCAAGTATCGAAGTAGAGAGCCATCTATATGTGAAAATATATCAATAGTAAAACGACGTGCGGTCCACACTTTTTACTGCAGCTAAGACGCAACCCCGACGAGTTATTGTTACATTAAATATTTGTTTGATTAAAAAATGTGTGATGGACATTACAACTTTTCAAACCACTCCACATCGTTTAAGGTTTGTCGTATTAGGTTTGCCCAGTTATTTTTACTGATGCTATCTGTGTTTGAGATTCGGCGGCGGTTTGTACTAGAAGTACTAAATGGTAGTACATTAGGATACGGCTGAAATCCTCAAATTAGATATTGGGGTCCCTGTTGGTGCCTGGATTTGAGATATGGCGGAGAAAGAGAATACCACCTTTCTTTCATACATATCTTGGACATTAACCAGACAGACCTATTATTTAATAAATCCACTTTTTGGAAAAAAGGTATTTCAAAGTCTATGACATAAAAATATATTGTTAAAATAACAACGACATTGTATTTTTGTTTATCTCAACTTCGCCAAAAAATGTTGTAAAAAATCCACTATCATCTCTTTGTTAGTGTGTTAAAAAAATGTTGCTCATAAAATCCACGCTTATACTTCATTTATACATCGGTGTGTACATAACTACCTTCATAGATTCCCATAATTCGTCAAATCGAATACGTGTCGGTTATTCATCATTTGAACTCAAAACAACCACAATTACATTCGCGCTCAAAGTTCAATGTGTGACAAAAACCCAAACTCAGGACACAGCTGGTATTCAAATTCAAACAACAACAGCAACTAACATGAATAGAAGAATGGCACACACACACATACGCAAATGTGGCTGGAAAACAAATGAACGTACAAGTGATGAAATAGACGAATGAATACCGCGACAAAACATGAACATTTACCACAAATTTGTTAGCAATGACATTAAACAATGGCGAAAACACAGCAGCGTGTAAAAGATCAACAATCAAACAAACCAAACACAGCCAGCCAGCCACTGTGTCAAAGTTCCTGTGTTTTTATCGCGTTCTCTCCCCTCTCTCTCTCAGATAACTCAGAGTAATTCCTAGGTGGGAGATGACAAATTTATCATTGTGTGTTTTAACATCCGTTACCGTTATACACCAGTTAAGTGTTATTGGGAGACTGATGATGTACGAGCAGGTGAGGGTGTGTGTGTGAGGTCGGCGAACATGTATTGCAGAGAATTGAATTTATATCATTAGTGTAGACATGTTTTGCATATACCCATGTGTTTTCTGTTTCCGTTATTGTTGTTGTTGCTGCTGCTGCTGTTGTTGGTGTTTTGGCAATTTACCATGTCGTGAGTATTTTAATGTGTGTGTGTATGAGTGTCAGAGTATGTTATGTTTTATGATTACAGGAGCAATTTCATTGTAGATTGGTAACTTGTTTAACTATTTAAGTGATTTGCTCTAAGGTATTTTAAGGTTATCATTGAAGAGAAAAACTCTTAGAAATGGAAATGGAGATTAGATGAGAATAATAATGATGGCGAATTAGTTTTCTATAACTAGTGGCAGTCAGTCAGAGAACAGCATAGTCACAATTGTGGATTTTTAAGGATATTTACTATCACCGTAAACTCTAAGAAATATGCACTTTTAAGATTTTTTATTTTTTTTTACAATTATCCTTAATTTTGTCGTTGCTCAAAAATGTTCTTTTTTCTCACATAATTCTGTTTTTTTCAATTGATGTTTTTTTCAATCGTATGTTTTCTATCATTCTGAATTTATAAGGAATCTTTCGTTAATAATTATTTAAAAAAAATAGCAAATTTGAAAAAAAGAACATTGTGGACATTCTTAGGTAATAAAATGGCGGATTTAAACAAAATACAAAAATTATAAACGTGAGTTCTAAGAGATTTTCTACATCAACAGAGCCATCATTGTCGTTTTTATATCCTCCAACATATACTTCGTAAATATATTTTCAATCAGGGTAAAATTCTAATTCGATCTAGCGATGTTCGCCTGTCTGTTGTAATCACGAATTGGGATAGAAGGCTAAAACTTTGCACATATGTATCTGGCTTTTGTCAGTAGACAGGATAAGTTCGTAAATGGACCATGTCGATCAACCTTGTAGAATAGCCCCATATAACCGTGCACTCTGATATACGGAATTTAGGTCACTTTTTCTACCAGAATTGTTTAAAATTCGACATTTACAGTTTGTCACAGGTTCTACCTCCTGCGTCAGATCATTGTATACATAGGTTCACGTTTAAATAGCCCTCACATCATTTTAGCCGTATTTTCTAACGGCTAAATGATGTGAGGGCTATATTGCTACTTAGAGTTGGTAATGGCTTCTGCTTTTCGTGGGAGATTATTGTCTATATAGGTCCACGTTTGCCTGCAGCCCCCCATGTAACCATACCTCCCCATATTCGGTAGAGTTTAGAGTTTGTAATGACAGATTACTTCACCACCCATAAAGCGGTACCTTCGCATATTTGATATTTTGGTCATATTATCCACCTTTTTAACATACTTTTTATTCACTCAGCTATTTGACTACATAGGGTATATATCATTTGATTCGATCAAAACGTGCCTCATCGAAATAATGGTTTTAGACCCTAGGTCTCTTTGGATTAAATTCGATTCAGGACACTTGGAGACTATAGAGAGGTGTCCGTCCGTCCACCTGTCTGTCTGTCTGGATGGCTGGCATCCGGTTCCATTCAAACTTGGCACATCTTGATATTTCTATCAACACAAGATATGTTATAAAGATGGTAGAGATCGGACCATTCCTTCTGGTACCTTCCCCACAAAGGGTCAACCTTTTGAACAGCTACGAAGCTCATAAAAGTCGAGATAGCCCAAATCTGGCACGTCGTAATATTTATATCATATTTAGTGCGAAATGTGCAATATTGGCCCATTACTTCGGAACTTTCTCCATAGAGAGTCAACAATGTGAATAATCACAAGAGAAGCCGAAATATGTTTCAATAATCGAACATTGGTTGAGGGTGTACTTCTGTTGGCAAAACCGGCTAATATTTTTAACTTGTTATATCTTCCACAATAGTATGGAGGGTATATTAAGTTTGTCATTACGTTTGTAACACCTCGAAATATATATTTTTGATGGGCATACAATTCTATGTCGATTTAGCGATATCCTTCCGTCTGCATGCCGGTCTGTGGAAATCACTCTAGCCGTCGAACGAAATGAAGTAGGTTAATAAAATTTTACTTAAATGTGTGTTTGATCTGCAGTATTGAAAATGGGCTATATAAGTCAACGTTTAGATATAGCCTCCATATAAATGTACCTCTCTATACATGATCATTTTACCGACATTACTCACCGGAATGGTTTAAAACTACGTATTTGCACTTAGTAATGGCTATTACAGTCTGTGACAAAAAATTCTCTACGCAGGTGCAGGTTTTTCGGTATTTTTATGATTTTAGCGAAATTATTCACCGAAATTGCCTCAAATTGAAGTTCCTATTAGGTTCTACAGCCTGTGACAGAAAATTGTCTGTGCAGGTCCAGGTTTTCGTATAGCCCCATATATAGCGGCACCTTCCGAAATTCGGTATTTTGATGATTTTTGTGACGTTAAAGTTCGTACGGGATATTACAGCCTAACACAGAAAATTGTCTGTGCAGATCCAGGTTTTCGTATAGCCTCCATATAACGGTAACTCCCGATATTCGGTACTATAATGATTTTAGCGACATTATTTACCGGAATTGTTTCAAATTTGGTATTTTAAGTTCGTAATGGATACCACAGGCTATAACAGAAAAGTGTCTGTGCAGGTCCATGTTTTGCTATAGGCTCCATATAATGGTACCTCCCTATATTTCACATTTGAATATTGTAATGGCTTATGACAAATGTTGCCTACGCAGGTCCACGTCGTCGTATAAACTCTAATATAAGGGCTACATTTGGCATTTTTAGATTTTAACTGAATTTTTAACGGATTTCGAAAATTTCCAAATTCGTTCCAAATGCTGGAGGATATTCAAAGTTCGGCCCAGCTTTTTTGCTTGTTTTTATACCCTACAACACTATGTGTTGATTGGGCCAGAATTTATGTAACACCTCGAAATATTGGTTTCCCATATAGGAAAGTATATATGGATCTTCCTAGCTCGCCGAGCTGAGTCGATCTAGCTATGTATGTCCGTCCGTCCGTCTGTCCGTCTGTCCATCTGTCCATCTGTCCATGTTAATTTGTAATCACTCTACAGGTCGCAATTATGGTCCGATCTTCACGAAATTTAAAATGGAGGTGGGGCTAGGGTCAGAATAGAACCCTATTTCTTTCGGAGATGATCGCATAATATTTAGGGGTCGAAATGGACCAAATACTGAAAAAATATCGGATTTTGCAGTTGCTATACAGGTCGCAACTATAGACCAATCGAATTTCGTGTGTAGCTAGAGTTTAGGGCTGGGAAAAAGCCCACCAATTTGGGTGGTCATCGGATAATATTTAGCTGATAAAATAAACCATATCTTTTGTGTTGAA